AGATCCACCTGCCTCTGCCTCCCAAGTGCTGGGATTAAAGGTGTGCCACCATGCCCGGCCCCTCAAAGAATATATTTTATAGAACTGCTCATTTAAGTTTATAAGTATATATGTACCAGAGTGATCATTTTTAATAAAATACCAAATGAAGGGGCTGGAGAGAAGACTCAGTGGTTAAGAGCACTGGCTGCTCTTGCAGAGGACCCGTGTTCAGTTCCCAGCTAACAAGTCAGTAATTTCAGCTCCAGGGGATCTGACACCCTCCTCTGCCCTCTGTAGACACTGCACTGACATGGTGCATATACATTCATTCAAGCAAAACATTCATACACATAAAACAATTTTTTTAAAATGCTGTAAATTCCTGAGCTGGGCGTGGTGGCACACACCTTTAATCCCAGCACTTGGGAGTTCAAAGCCAGCCTGGTCTACATAGTGAGCTCCAGGACAGCTGGGGCTACAGGGAGCCCCAAAAAGACAATAAAAAAAAAGCTGTAAATTCCTAAATGCTCTACAGCCATATTGCCACAAGTGTGTGGGGGCGGAGGGGGAGGCGGGGGCGCTGTCCTTGAATGCTACGGGAGGCTTTCCTGCCTCAGGAGTGCTAACAATTCTGACAGCTAAGGTACTGGATGAAATCAATGGCCAACAGAGCCACCTCAAGCTAGTGGCTTCTGAGTCCTTTGTCTTACAAATTCCCAGAACGAAATTTTCCCCTAATGGGAGGGTGCCTTTAGAAAGCTGTTTTGTTATAGGATTATAGGTGGGAGCTGAAGAATGCTGGAGTGGGTCCCAGAAAATAGGGTCCCCACTGAGCTGCTAGTCTAGGGGATTTTTAGAGGATTTGGTGAGGCCTGGAGAGGGAGATGAGCTGGTCAGTCCAGTCAGTCCATCCACGAGGTGTCCAGATACTTCTCAGTTTTGGTTACAACCTCACATATGGTTTCCAGGCAGCAGTGCTCATTAGGTTGTGTAAAAGGGACGATAACAAGAAAGCAGACCAGGAACCAGAGCTCTCTTCTGGCATTCTTGGCCTTTGGCCAAGGCAGAACCGAGGCAGTTCAGGATTCTGACTGAGGACAAGAATTAGGGCCAGTGAGAAGGCTCAGCCCTTAAATTCATGCAGCACAAGCCTGGTGACCTGAGTCTGATCCCCAGAACCCAAGTAAATATAGGAGAAAACGCCACAGAGCTGTCCCCTGACCCACACACATGTGCTATGGGACATGCACACACACACACACACACACACACACACACACACACACAAATAGTAATTTTTTTTTTTGAGACAGGGTTTCACTGTAGCCCCAGCTGGCCTGAAACTTGCTGTGTAGACCAGGCTGGCCTCTATCTCAGAGTATCTCCCAAGTGCTGGGATTAAAGGCATGTGCCATCATATCTGGCAACAAATAATTTTCTTTCATTTTTCCTTTTCTTTTTTTTTGGAGCTGAGGACCGAACCCAGGGCCTTGCACTTGCTAGGCAAGCACTCTACCACTGAGCTAAATCCCCAACCTCAAATAATTTTCTAAAAAAGAATTAGAGGGCCTAGAGAGATCGCTCAGTGGGTAAGAGCACTGGCTGCGATTCCCAAGCACCCACGTGGTGGTTAACAAGCATATCTGACACCAGCTCTTGGGAATCCAATGCTCTCTTCTGACCTCTACAGGCTTTGCACAGACGGGTGCATGTGGCATTTATTATTATGCCAGCATCACAATCACCTGAACAAATAGACTGACTTTAAGAATTTAAGAATGGGCCCAACTCAGAAGCCACTAGTTTCCCTAGCTATGTATTAGAGCCCTCTAGAACACTTTGTCTCCTGGAACTGTGCTGATGGCTCTCTCTTGCCCTCTCAACCTGTTCAGAAGTGCTGTGTCCTCACCCTGTACTGATAGAACTGTTGTGGAACCCTGTTTCTCCCACTGTGTTCCTGCTACACCCCACCTCCCACCAGGTCACACCCTATAATTTATTCAAAATGGTTTCTCTAGCTTCACTGGGGGAAATGCAAGTTCAAGTTCTGTTTCTCTTCAGTTACTTTTTTTTCGGTCTTTTGAAACAGGGTCTCCCTGTAGACCAGACTGGCCTTGAACTCACTATGTAGACCAGGCTGGCCTTGAACTCACTATGTAGACCAGGCTGGCCTTGAACTCACTATGTAGACCAGGCTGGCCTAGAACTCACAGAGATCTGCCTGCCTCTGCCTCCCTAGTGCTGGGATTAAAGGCGTGTACCCACGCCCAGCTTCCTCCCTTAACAGACGGACCATCTAGCCTTTTCATCCCCAGTATCTTAGTCATCCAAGGTCACATGTCCTGTTCACTGTGTTCCATGGAGGTAGGCGCCAACTTTCAGCATTTTGATATGTTAATTCTCAAGCATACTCACATTCATTTATTCATTATTATCTTTTTTGGCTAGAGTAACAAATTGAGGTTACCAAGGAAATGCTCAGTCATCAGAACCAAGAGTGCATGTGTATGCTGGGGTTAATTAAAAGTCATTAGTCAAGAGTATGTCCAATAATAAAAGTCATTCCTATAGGTACACTTACAAACACACTGGCAAAATACTCATACACATGAAATAAATTAATTTAAAAAATTTAACGCCAACACTGGGGAGCCAGAGGCAGGCAAATCTCTGTGAGACTGGGGCTAGCCTGTTTTACATAGAGAGTTTTAGGCCAGCTGGGGCTATAAAGAAACACTGTCTCAAAAAGGCTGAAAATAAAGCTGGGGCATGGTGGTGCATGCCTTTAATCGCACTCCGGAAGCAGAGACAGGTGGATCTCTGTGAGATCAAGGCAGGCCTGGTCTACTTAGGGAGTTCCAGGCCAGCTGGGGCTACATAGTGAGTTCCAGGACAGCTGGGACTACTGGGAGACACTGTCTCAAAAACACAAAAAAAAATAATAATAAAAAAGCAAATAAAAATAAATAAATAAAAGAATTAGAACTGTCCGATTTTCAGGGTCCCTGCCCTAAAACTACCTGACCAGTTCCCACCTCCTGTTCGCATCACTAGTATAAAACTCTTCTCAGAGATAGGAATGGTGGCACAGGCCTTTTGTCCCAGCATTCTGGAGGCAGAAGCAAGCAGATCCCTGTGAGATCAAGGCCAGCCTGGTCTACTTAGGGAGTTCCAGGCCAGCTGGAGCTATAGAGATGCTGTTTCAAAAAATAAAACAAAAAACTTTTCACAGTATTTGGCCTTTTCATATGATTATGTTTTCAAAAATTTTATTGTGGCATAAAATTGCCATTTTAAGAATACAAATCATTGGCATTAATTCCATGCACTGTGCAGTTTTCGCCTCTTTCTCAAACTTTGTTCATCACCTTTCTTCTGCTCTGTAACCATTAAGCAGCGACTCCCCATTTCTTCCCACCCCAGTCTCAGAGAACTTCTCTACTTCGGTCTCGAAGCTCTTTGTTCTGTAAAGGTGGATGTTGCATCGCAAAGACAAAAGTGATCTGAAATACAGGCAGTGGGGTGCTGGAGCAGCTGAGTCTTCTACATGTCTTTAAAGGCTCCCTGGTTCTCCAAGATGAACTGGCTGAAGCTTTTGACTTTGGAGTTTAGGTGATGGGTGAGCTTGACATCACGGTCTGGCTTCATTTGGTAGAAACGACACATATTAGCCAGTTCCTCTGCTCCAGGGAATCCCAGCTTCTCATAAGCCTCTGGAGTGATCTTTTAAGGATAAGTAAAAAAGCAGTAAATGTCATAATCCGCACTGGAAAAGGTTTGAAAAGATAATATTCACTTTAATGATGTAGGATCACAATTCTTTAACTACAAAATCCAAGAAACTCTGAAGTAGTCAGGAAACTGACTTTGTTGAACTAAACTTCCTTGGGTGGCTAATTCTGACCCAGACTACATGAGGCTATTTGCAGTCATTAAGTGCAGTGTTCAGTAGGAACAGGCAAACATCTTTCTGGAAACTGGGATGGATTTGATCTCAGGTTTCCGATGCAGCCTATTGGTCATGGGACACCCAAATGACAGAGGCTGAAGACTGCCTCAGCCCACCCCCTCCACCCTGCCCCTGGCATCTGGATCCCCCAGCCTCTGCCTGCCAGTTGAGATCACCAGGCCTCTGGGATATTCCACCCTCCAAGCAGACATTAGTTCCCCACCTAGCTGAGGTCCCATCCATTTTCACCCCTTTGTGGTTAGAGATACGTTTGGTTTTGTTGTCGTTGTTTGTTTTTTCTTTCAATCATCCCAGCCTCTGGCAGGACCAAACAGGCCCAAACAGCAATGGAGCCCATCCAGGTTTATGAAATGTTCTTGAATACTTTCTGACACTAACTAAATACATAACTGCCCCACTGAGTGAGCAAAGAGCATCTCTATCTGTTTCAATATAAACTGTCAACCCTCTATGTAGAGCTGGCTGGCCTCAATCTCACAGAGAACCCCTTGCCTCTGCCCCCCAAGTGCTGGGACTAAAGGCATGCACTACCATGCCTGGCACTTGTTTTTTTAATGTTTGTCTATTTATTTTTATTTTATATATATGAGTGTTTTGCCTGCATATAAGTGCATCTATGTGTGCCATACCCACAGAGGCCAGATAAGGGTGTCAGATCTCCTGGAATTGGAATTAGGGATGGTTTTTAGCAGCCATGTGGGTTCTGAGAACTGAATACAGGTCCTCTGCAAGAGGACATCTCTCTAGCCCCTGTTCTTTTTTCTTATTCTTTTTAATTTAAAAAGGAAAAAACATCTATTTTGTGTGTGTATGTCTATGTGTGGGTACACATGCAGTGCCAGTGTGGAGACAGAGAAAAACCTGCAGGATTTGGCACTCTACCTCCACCATGTGGGTTCTGGGAATCAAACTCAGGTTGTCAGGCTTAGTTAGCATCAAGGGCCTTTACCCACAAAGCTACCTCACTGGCCCTCCTCTTGTTCTTAAAAAAACAAGTGACAGAAATAAAAACAAATGGAAACCATGATTGTGTGGCCTCTCTTTAGAAATATATACTCTTCCCTCAGCTGCATACCTCTGCCTGCAGTAAACCTCCTCCAGATGTGAAATAAATAAAACCATGATTTTCATGTGCCATTTTTTTTTTGTTATTGTTGTTGTTTGTTTTGTTTTGTTTTTGATGTTTGGGGGTCAGGGTCTCCCTGTAGCCTCAGCTGGCCTGGAACTTGCTGTGTAGACCAGGCTGGCTTTGAACTCACAGAGATCAGCCTGCCTCTGCCTCCCGAGTGCTGAGACAAAGGCATGTGCCACCAAGCCAGCACGTTCCAGTTTTTAATGATGAAAACTCAATCCCAGCTCTTAGACAAAGATTGACATGAGTTTGAGGCCAATCTGTGCTACACAGTGAGTTCCAGGCAATAGAGGAATATTAAACTACTACACATCTACTCTAAGAATATTATTCAGTTATTAAAATTAATGTATTTGAAGAAGTTTAGCAAAATAGAAAAATGCTCATAACAACATTGAGTGGAGCATACTGCATTATATTTATTATTTATTCTTTTTTTTTTTTTTGTCTTTTTGAGATAGAGTCTCCCTGCAACCCCAGCTGGCCTGGAACTTCCTATGTAGACCAGGCTGGCCTCAATCTCACAGAGATCCTCCTGCCTTTGCCTCCTAGTGTTGGGTTTAAAGGTTTGAGCCACCACGCCTGGCTTTTTTGTTTTTTAATATCTTTTTTTTTTTTTAATGTGTGTGAGTATATTGCCTCCATGCATATAAGTGCATCAGTGTCATGCAATGCCCACTGAAATCAGAAGACGGCAGTGGATCCCCTGGAACTGGAGTTAGGGTGGTTGTTAGCCACCATGTGGGTGCTGGGATTCAAACAGAGGTCCTCTGCAAGAGCAGTCAGTGCTCTTAACCACTGAGCCCTCTCTTCAGTTCCCTTATTTTAATTTTATTAAGCACATATAAAAATATATAGCATATATACTAGAAAAGGACTGGAAGAAAATCTAGCAAGTCATGATAGTTCTGAGAGATTAAACTGTGTGATTTTTATTTTCCTTTCATTAATTGAGTTTACTACAATAAGCATTTGATATTTTTTAAATTAAAAAAAATTAAACTGCTGGGCATGGTGGCACACACCTTTAATCCCAGCACTCAGTAGGCAGAGACAGGTAGATCTCTGTGAGTTCAAGGCCAGCCTGGTCTACATAGTGAGTTCCAGGACAGCTGAGGCTACAGGGAGACCCTGGCTCAAAAATACCAAAAAAAAAAAATAATAATAAACTAAAACAAAATAATCTATGTAAGAAGCATGGAGGGTGCCTTAAAATCTGTGTCCTTAAGGCATTCTTATATCTGGTAACTCCGACAACTAACATACCTTATAAAACACGGTTCTATTACTGCAGGTTTTTGAAGGATTTTTGAGATCTCTTATGCCTCACTTTCTGCCAGAACCACGTTTCCCTGGGGGTTAGACAGATTCAGGAAACCCTGGGCTCCTGATGAGAGCTTAGGGGAGCCTGCCTTCACTGAAGCAGGCCCACAGTCTCCTGACCAGAGGCCGAGGTTGGGCAGGTTGGGGGCCCAGGGAGTATCAAACTGGGAGAGTGGAGCGCCACCTTGTGGCCATGGGCATCCTTCCCGGAATCAACATAATGCCTAAGCAGTTGGCCATGAGTTAAGAGAGTGGGCTTTGATTTCAAGACAGACCAATTACTAAGAAGAGCGTTAACTGTTCTGTAGAACTTCCCGCCTATGATGCCCTAGAACTTTTGGTTCCAGGGAATCCTCAGCTGCATTAGGAAGCAACTTGATGTTCCAAGAACATTCAGGAACCAGGTATTCATCTGAAATGCTGGGAAAAAATCGAGCCACTCAAAACCGCACCTACCTAGTCCCCTGAGAATGAATACACCCCACATCCCACTGCCCACTTGCCTTCCATTTACAGATCAAACCACTGAAGCAAAAAGAAAGTAAGACCCAGGACTGGTGTGGTGGCGCATACCTTTAATCCCAGTACTTGGAAGGCAGAGGCAGGCGGATCTCTGTGAGTTCAAGTCCAGCCTGGTTTACATAGTGAGTTCCAGGCCAGCTGGGCCTACAGTGAGATCCTGTCTCAAAAAGACCAAAAGAAAAAGAAAATAAGATCCCAAAACAAATGCCCTGGGAGAAGGGCCATGGAGAAGTAAATTTGCACTAGGCATAAGACCTCTCCTGAGCCTATTTTGAGTGGGTGGCCACCTTCTTGGGCTTGCAGGAATTCATTTTCCATACAGATTTTGTATAGTTTCAATGATTCACATATGTGGTTTTACAGTGGGATTGACATCTTCAGTAGTTTTCCTCTTCTCAACAGGGAGGAAATGGCACCAATTCTAACCACCTGTCTGTAAACATCTGTCCTAACCACACTCCTACATGATTCATAGCACTCTAGGTTACTGTGGGCTCGCTAAGCTCAGGGCCATGTAAAGCACTTGCCACTCTGTCATATTTCATCCTCATAACTATCCTACAAGGGAGGTATAGGCCCACAAGCTTCTGCTAAGCCACTACCATCCCTACAAGGGAGGTGTGACAACACTTTGTGAACATATATGCAGACTAAGGCTGAGAGAGTAAGTTGCTGAGATTCCACATACAGATGAGATCAGAACCTGGATTTGCCTACCTGCCCATGCTGCAGATGGTTCATTCACATTTATAGCAGAATTTAGCCAGGCCAACCCTGTTGTTCCTACCTGCATACCTGCATAATCCTGTCCTCCCTCAAGGATCTCTTCAAATCCTTTTTTATTTATTTTATTATTAATTTTTTTGGTCTTTTTTTTTTTTTTTTTTTTTTTGAGATGGGGTCTCCCTGTAGCCCCAGCTGGCCTGGAATCTGCTATGCAGACCAGGCTGGCCTTGAACTCACAGAAATCCACCTGCCTCTGCCTCCCGAGTGCTGGGATTAAAGGCGTGCACCACCATGCCCGGCTCAAACCCTTTTAAAAAAACACTCATGTGTATGAATGTTTTGCCTGCGTGAATGTAAGTGCACATGTGTATGCAGTGCCTGGGGAGGCCAGAAAATGGCATCAGATCCTCTGGAACTGGAGTAAGGACAGTTGTTAGCTTCCATGTGGGTGCTGGGAACAGAACCCAGGATGAGCTGTTTCTCTAGCCCCTAATCATCATTTTTGAGCCTTCTATTTCATCATCTATAAAATGTTTTCCACTTCACAGAAAAAAAAAGAGAAAGAAACCCTGTCTCTACAAGGAGACCAAAAAAAAAAAAAAAAAAAAAAAAAAAAAAAAAAAGCAAAAGGACTCACCATTGCATCTCGAACTTCTTTTCCCAGAATCTTGGACAAAACATCAGCGTATTGCTGTACTGTTAGAGCCTCTGCACTGAGGCCCACAGCCTTGCCTAAAAACTCCTCTGAAGAATTGAAAATGCTGGAGACAACTGCTCCTATGTCAGCCACAGAGATCCCATCCATTGGTGCATTCCCCATGGGCAGTGCTAGTTTGAAAAACAATGATAAAAACAGTAAATTGTATCACATCCTTGGTAGAGCCTCTACCCCAAGTTAATCACTTAACAAAAATGAACTACTTAAACAGAGGTGTGAGAAGCAATTGTGGTAAGAGGTTACTGAGGAGACTGCCTTTAAAAGGAATTAAAATCAGATAGAAATTGCAATAGTTCCTATGGCACCCTGAGTTAGTTTTCATAGGATTGTTATAAAAGCCTAGCAGTTGCCCAGTAAATGTTAATTATTCCTATAGATGAGAATGAGGCTCAGAGCTACCCAAGGCTGGGTTTTCACTATTTGGAAGCCTCATATGAGAGTAGACACTATCTCTTCACCCAGAGCTATTCAAAGTCATAGATTGTAGACTTTGTGTAGGGGTTGGCTGGGGACCTGTCTCTTGGAATGTCTTGGTCCCTGGAGACTTTTAATTCTGACTATGTGATCCTGATCTTACCTGGTTGCAGCAGGTCAGATGGATGAGCTAGAAGGGCCCTTAGCAGTCATCTTGTCTTCTTTCCCATGAGACTTGAGGAACCTGAGTCTTGAAGGCGCAGAGGGTGGAAGACTGGAAAAGTAACCCTTTGCGCTTCCCATTCCAAATCCAATTCTTTGCCCTGTGTGGTGCAAGTGCTCTGAGCAACTACTACAAGGGTGATTTAGTGTCTCTCTGAGCATGTCACAGAGAGCTAAGAACATCAAACGTGTGCACTGAAGAGGAGCAGGAAAAGACAGAGAGGGAGAAAGGGCAGGAAGGAAAGATGAGTGGGAAGGAGGCACAGGAGGATGGCTGGTGTTGGTTAACCATCACTACAGGCCTGCACTTACCTAGGGTGTAGTGATCCCCACCAGGGGCTTTCACCGGCTTCCATACAGTGAGGAAGTTTTCAAAGTAAGCTGCCAAGCGCACGCTGGTCATGGGAACACCGATGGACCAGAAATATTCCTCCACCTCTCCCTTCCCATCGAAGTGGGGCACCTGCAACTTGCCCCCACTCAGCTGTTGGACATTCTCCAGGCCGCTGTACACCACGTGTTTCAGACCCAGGCGCTTGGCAACATCTGCCACTAGTTTTCCCTTAGGGAAGAAAAGAAAGGCTTCTTTGCACACAGCTGTTTTCTTTTTTCTGATATGTGGACACCATTTGGATTTTTTTGGCAAAATAGAGGATTTCTATACACATAAACATATACATTTTCCTCTCCTCTCCTACTCTCCCCTTCTGTTCACCCACATCTGGTTTATTTTCTCTTTTGTGTTTTTAAAAAATATTTTATTATTTTTACTTCATGTATATGGGTGTATTGCCTGCATGTGTGTAACTGCATCGGTGTCATGCAGCATCCTCAGAGGTCAGAAGAACTGGATATGGACGGTTGTTAGCTGCCAAGTGGGTGCTGTGAGTAGATCCCAGGTTCTCTGTGAGAGCAGCCAGTACTCTCTACTGCTGAGCCGTCTCTCCAGCTCTTTTTTGTGTTTTTACTTCCAAAGCCTCCTCTCCTTCCTGTTCTCTCCCCCTTCTTCCATGATTTCTCTCTTTTTCACTATTTCTCTTTTCCATTTACTTGCAAAACCTCATTTGGCAGGGCTGGAGAGATGGCTCAGTGGTTAAGGGCACTGGTTGCTCTTGCAGAGGACTGGGTTTGATTCTCAACACCCACATGGCAGCTAAGATCTGTCTGTAACTCCAGTTCCAGGGGATCTGATGCTCTCTTCTGACCTCCACAGGTCACGGGCGCACGACATGGGCGCACCTACCGACATGCAGGCAAAGCACTCATATACATAAAATAAAAATAATAAATAAAATATATTAAAAAAAAAAAACCTCATGTGGCAAGCAGACAGAAGGTAAAGCTGAGAAGTGACAAACAACCCCAGGTTCAGGTTTTCTAATGAGTGAATGTCAGAATTAGACCCCAAGAAATACATATTTAAAAGGGGGGAGAGGTTGGGGATGAGGACAGGTATGACTAGTGGTGCAGACCTATTATCCTACTTGGGAAGTTGTGTCAGGAGCATAACAAATTCAATGTTGGCCTGGGGTATGGAGTGAGTTCAAGCTCTCTTGGGCAATTTGGTGAGACCTTGTCTCAAAATAAACAGTTAGAAGCTAGGACTGGACCTGGAGACCCACACATTTAATCCCAGCACTCAGGAGGCAGAGGTAAGAGAATTTTCGTGAGATCAAGGCCAGCTGGGGCTATGGAGAAACCCTGCTTCAAAAAACAAAACAAACAAACAAACAAAAAAGTAGGCGAGATTGATCAGTAGTTAACAACACTTGCAGAGGACCCAAGTTTGGTTCCTAGACAACTCCAATTCCAGGGGAATCAGTGCTCTTTTCTGACCTCCTTGCACACAAGTGTGGTCCACATACATACATACAGGCAAAATACTCATGCACATAAAGTAAAATAAATAAATCTTTTTTAAAAATACAAAATAGGGGCTGGAGAGATGGCTCAGTGAGCAATGGCTGGTCTTCCAGAGGATTTGATTCCGGGTTTGATTCCCAGCACCCACATGGCAGCTATCAACCATCAGTAATGCCAGTTCCAGGGAACCCAACACCATCTTCTAACCTCCATGGGCATTGTATGACATGGACGCACTTACATACATGCAAGGAATATACTCATACAAATAAAAAAATTAATAAATTAAAAAAAAAAGACTGAAGCCAGGTGTGGTGGCACGTGCCTGTAGTCCCAGCACTTGGGAGGCAGAGGCAGGTGGATCTCTGTGAGTTCAAGGCCAGCCTAGTCTACATAGTGAGTGAGGTCCAGGACCGCTGGGGTTACAGGGAGACCCTGTCTCAAAAAGACAAAAAAACAAAAAAAAGACTGAAACCGGGCATAGTGGCACATGCCTTTAATCCTATCACTCAGGAGGCAAAAGCAGTACATTTTTTTCTTTTTGGTCTTTCTGAGACAGGGCCTCCCTGTAGCTCCAGCTCATCTGGAACTCACTATGTAGACCAGGGTGGCCTTGAACTCACAGAGATCCACCTACTTCTGTGGCTAAAGGAATGTGCCACCACCCCCGGCTCTACCCTTACTCTTAACAGACCATCAGGCCTTTTTGTCCCTAGTTCACATTCATCCAAGGTCACTCTTCCTTCCCAACCACCACAGTTTCCAATGGGTGGCTACACTGCTTGCAGCTCTTCGCTATGTTAATTCTCAAGCATGCTCACATTCATTCATTATCTTTTTGGATGGAGTACCAAATTGAGCTTGCCAAAGAGACACCCAACTTGTCATCAGGCCCTAGAGGGTATGGTTTTGCTGGGGTTAAAAGTCATTAGTCCAGCCTGGTGTGGTGGTGCATACCTTTGGTCCCAGCATTCAGGAGGCAGAGGCAAGGCATAGATCTCTGTGAGTCCCAGGCCAGCCTGGTCTATATAGCAAGTTCCAAGCCAGGTGGGGCTACTGGGAGAGACTCGGTCTCAACAAACAAACAAACAAACAAACAAACATTAGTCCAGAATACATCCATTAATAAAAGTCATTCCTGGCAGATAGCCTGAGAGGGTGGGTTTCAACCTCCATTGGTGTAGCAGCTCTGATCTCAGCAGACTGCCAGAGAGTGCCGAGTTCTGGTCTCCCTCTGGCAGAGGACCCAAGAACACGGAGGACTGCCTGAGAGCCCCAGGATCTTGCCTCCATGTGGTGGTGAGCGTCCCCTAATTGTGCCATACCCATCCCCCTACCTGGGATATTGTGAGGCCTCACCCAAGGTCCCAGGGCAGATCTGGCTTTGGTAAGCTAAGGCTGAGATCCTAGCAGACAGCCTGAGAGGGTGGGTTTTGACCTCCATTGGTGTAGCTGCTCTGATCTCAGCAGACCGCCAGAGAGTGCCAAGTTCTGGCCTCCCTCTGGCCTCCCTCACATGGTGAAGGGAAGCCTGAGTGTACCTGACTGGAACCTGAATTGGGCTTCTGTGGGTACTCCTGAATAGCTGATCTGAAGCCATCAGTTCCTTCCAAATTAAACCTGAGAGAACCTGAACCCTGTACCAACCAGATTTACATAATCAATAAAGAAAAGACCTAGGCACCCAGATAATACAAACAGAAGCATACTTCAACTTAATTCTCATATCAGAACCATAAACAACAAAAGAAATTCACATGCCAAAATCACAACGAACAAATAATAAAATGGAGAGCCAAAACACTATGTTCCCACCAAACTCCACGAGTCCTGCAGAAGAGTTTTACAAGGAAGTCCTCCTAGAGATAACCCAGGACACTGAATTTAAAAGAACAATCATACGATCTGGAGAGATGGCTCAGCAGTTAAGAACACTGGTTGTTCTTATAGAAGACTCAGATTGGAATCCCAGCACCCACATGGCAGATAACAACTGTTGGTAATTCCAATCCCAGGGGATCCAATAGTGTTTTCTGACCTCTGCAGGTATTACACGACACAGGTGCACTTACCTACATGCAGACAATACACGCATACAAATAAAATAAAAATAAAATTTTAAAAAAAGAACAATCATAAACACGGTCAAGGAACTTAAAGAACACTCGAACAAACAAAGAACTACAAGAAGATAGGTATAAACTTCTGACTGAATTCACAAAAGAGAAACAGTGACGAAAACTCAGGCAGAAGTAAAGTAAGTGCAAAACTCAATAAACCAACTTGAAACAACAGGGGAAAGCCTCACCACTAGAATGAATGAAATGGAAAACAGAGTATCAACACTGGAGGATAAAGTTGAAGAATTGGACCACTCAAGCAAAGATTATGGAGAATTTAAAAAACACAGGAATAGAATATGTATGAAATGTAGGACACCAGGAAAAGACCAAATTGATGGATCATAGGGATAAAGGAAGGAGAAGAATTTCAGGTTAATGGTGTTGAGCAGATCTTAAACAGGATTGTAGAAGAGAATTTCCCAAAATTAGGGAAAGACATCCCCATACAAACACAGGAAGCACATAGAAAACCAAATAGGATCAGAAAAGAAACTCCCAACAGCATAGCGCAGTAAAAACAGTAAATGTGGGGTTGGGGAATTAGCTCAGTGATAGAGCGCTTGCTTAGCAAGCACAAATCCCTGGGTTCCATCCTCAGCTCTGGAAAAAAAAAGCCACTAAATGTGCAGAATAAAGGGAGAATACTGAAAGCAGCAAAAGAAAAGTAACAAGTCACATACAAAGGAAAGCCCATCAGAATTACAGCTGACTTATCAATGCAAACTATGAAAGCCAGAAGAGCCTGGACCAAGGTATTTCCAGTTCTATACGACAATAGATGCCAGCCCAGAATACTTTACCCAGCAAAAATGTCTATTATAGTTGAGGGGGGAAGAAAAATCTTCCATGACATGAATAGCCTGAAAGAATACATGTCCACAAAACCAGCCCTTCAAAGAATATTTGAAGCAATACAGAGGGCAGAGAGAGAAACAACTATACCCCAGGGGCAATGAAAGAAAATAAAGGTATAATTTAGGAAACACAAAATTAGACAGAGAACACAAACACCAATTAAAATGACAGTGACCAATACACATCTTTCAATAATAACCTTAAATATCAATGGACTGAACTCCCCAGTCAAAAGACACAGGCTATGTGAATGGATTAAGAAGCAAAATCCTTAAGGTATCCAGCCAAAATGTCTATTATAGTTGAAGGGGAAAGAAAAATCTTCCATGACATAAATAGCCTGAAGGAATTCTTTTCCACAAAACCAGCTCTTCGGAGAGTTTTGGGAGCAATACAAAGAGCTGAAGAAAGGAATGACTATACCAAAAGGGTTGCAGAAAGAATTCCAACGAGGGTACAACAGGATAAAAGTACAGGCACCCAAATTCATAAAAACAATACTACAGGACTTTAAGACATAGATTAACCCCAACTCAGCAATAGTAGGAGATTTCAGTACCCTACTGTATTCATTAGACAGGTTCAACTGGACAAAGAATAAACAGAGAGACATCTGAATTAAATGATACCATACATCAAATGGACTTAACAGACATGTTTCAAATATTCCACCCAAGCACCAAAGAATACACTTTCTACTCAGAGCCCCATGGAACTTTTT